TTTCACCACTTTTGTTCAGCATAGTACTGGAAGTCCTAGACACAGCAATCACACAAGAAAAAGAAATAAAATGCATCTAAATTGGAAAGAGAGAAGTAAAACTATTATTTGCAGATGACATGACACTATATAATAGAGAACCCCAAAGATTCCAGCAAAAAACTATTAGAACTAATAAATGATTTCAGTAAAGTAGTAGGATACAAAATTAATATTGAGAAATTTGTTGCATTTTTGTACACCAATAATGAACTTGGTAAAAAAGAGAAATTAAAAAAAATCCCATTTACAATTGCATCAAAAATTTAAATACCTGGGAATAAATTTAACCAAGGAGGTAAAACACCTGTGTTCAGAAAACTATAAGAAGAAAATACAAATAAATGGAAACATATACTGTGCTCATGGATAGGCAGATTTAACATCATTAAAATGCCCATACTACCCAAAGCAATCTATAGATTTAATGCAATCCCTATCAAAATACCAATGTGGCCCAGTGAAACAAAGGGCTGCTGGAGTCCCAGGTGTTCTTCTTAAAGGGCCCACACATGGACTTACTCACTGACGGATTCACTCTCTCTGTGCTCCAGCACTGGAATGGTGGCTTGAGGTGGGGAGCTGAGTTATCTGGCTTTGGGGCGGGGGTTGAGGGACTAGCTTTCTCCCGGACTCAGATACTGGCAGAGTCCATTGTTTCTTTGTTGATCCCTTTCCTCCTCTGACCTGCAGACACAGGTGGCCATCATGCCTGAATCTCCATCAACCTGGCTAACACCGTTTGGCATGCCCTGGTGATTCCCTGAGACCCTGCCCTGCCCAACTTGTGGGCCCACCCAAGCTGCTTTCAGTGGCTTTTCCATACAAATGGCCTGTCTTGACTCATGCTGCAGACTTTTCTGAAATCCCTTAATGGTTCAAAACCCCCAAACAAGCAGCATCTGGCTTTGGCGTGTCGCATAACTCTTGCCAAGCAGCCCCAAACCCAGCATTAGTGGTGGCTAACCTCGGTTCATGACTTGTCCTCTGAAGGCACCTCCAAGCCCAGCACAGGTGGCAGCCATCTGCAGTTTGCTTTGTGGCTCATGCCAGGTGACCCTGTGCAGGGTACAATCTTTGGATGAACTTGGCCTGTGGTGGGGCCCCTTCCAGGACACTCTGGGACTGGCACTCCTGGGAGCCAGCTTCCTACTGAGCCAGAACATCACTCAGCCACCTCCAAGGACAACACACCCAAAGGGCAGAATGGCAGGCACCAGATGCCTAATAAAGCAAATCCTGCTCCATATGGTCAGCCCCTGCAACAACAGCTCTTCCACTGTAGTCACAGCCAGTCCTCACAACCAACCAGCTGGAGGGTCAATTTCTCCCACTGACAGGCCAACAGCAACCAAGGCTCAACTACTACATGAAGGCATAAGCAACCCACACAATGAATACACCTGGAGCACCTGGCTCAGGTGACCAGGGAGACTGCCACTGGGCTCCACAGGACACCAGCTACATAAGGATACTCTACTAAGATGAGGAAACAGAGCAGCCCTACCTAATGCACAGAAACAAACACAGGGAGGCAGCCAAAATGGGGACACAAAGAAACATTTCCCAAATAAACCAAAACAAAGCTTTAGAAAAAGAACTAAAAATGGAGACAAGCAATCTACCAGACGCAGAGTTCAAAACACTGGTTATAAGGATTCTGAATTACCTCGGAGAAGTTCAACAAAAAAATAGGAAACATAAAAATGGAGGTAGATAATATAAAAAAGAACCAGTTAGAAATAAAGAATACAATAAATGAAAAATACGTGGGAGGAAATAAATAGATTAGATGAAGCAAAGGATTTAATTAATGGTTTAGAAGATAAGGTAGCAGAAAAACTAATCAGAACAGAAAAAAAAATCCAAAAACATGAGATTTTTAAGGGGCCTCTGGGACAACGTTCACATTATAGGGGCACCAGAAGGAGAAGTGAGAAAGCAAGGAATTGAAAACCTATTTAATGAAATAATGACAATAAACTTCTCTAACCTCGCGAAGGAAATAGACCTACAAGCCCAGGAAGTACAGAGTCCCAAACAAGATGAACCCAAAGAGGCCCACACAAGATACATTATAATTAAAATGCCAAAGGTTAAAGACAAAGAATCTTAAAAGCAGCAAGAGAATAGCAGTGAGTTACCCCTAAGGGAGCTCCCATAAGACCATCAGCTGATTTCGCAACAGAAACTTTGCAGGCTAGAAGAGAGTGACATAAAATATTCAAAGTGGTGAAAAGCCAGGACCTACAAGATTATTCTACCCAGCAAAGCTATCATTTGGAATCGAAGGACAGATAAAGAGCTTCCCAGACAAGAAGCTAAAAAAGTTCATCACCACCAAGCTAGTATTACAAAGAATGTTAAAGGGACTTTTTAAAAACAAACAAACAAAAAAAGATAAAAAATATGAATCATAAAAATGTAATAACTACATACCATGTTTCCCCCAAAATATTTAAGACCTGACTGGAAAATAAGCCCTAGCATGATTTTTCAGGATGCTCATAATATAAGCCCTACCCAAACATAAGCCCCAGTTAAGATCATCAGCCAGACATGACTGTTTGAATAAATATAGATATTTTTGTACATGAATAAATGAATAAATGTAGATTGTTGGAGCAAAAATTAATATAAGACCCAGTCTTATTTCTGGGGAAACACAGTATCTATCAACAATTACTTTAAATGTAAATAGATTAAATGCTCCAATAAAAAAATAGGGTGGCTGAATGGATAAGAAAACAAGACCCTTACATATGCTGCCTACAAGAGACTCGCTTCAGATCAGAGGACACACACTGAAAGTCAAGGGGTGGAAAAAAGATATTTCATGCTAATAGAAATGAGAGAAAAGTTGGGGTAGCAGTGCTTAGTACCAGACAAAATAGACCTTAAAACAAAGGCTATAACAAGAGACAAAGAAAGAACCAGTAATCCTACATCTGGGTATTTATCCAAAGAAACCCAAAATTCTACTTTGAGGGAACATGGGCATCCATATGTTCATTACAGCATTGTTTACAATGGCTGAGATGTAGAGGCAGACTAGGTGTCTGTAGATGGATGCATGGATAAAGAGGAGGTGGTATATATACAATGGAGTATTTCTTGACCATGGAAAGGAATAGGTATTTGCCATCTGTGGTGGCATGGATGGACCTGTAGGGTATTGTGCTGAGTGGAGTATGTCAGAGAGAGAAAGACAGATGTAATGGGATTTTGCTTATATATGGAATATGAAGAGCAAAACAAACAAAACAAACAAACTCATAGATACAGAGAACATTTTGATGGTTGCCAGATGGGAGGGGCATTGGGAAGTAAGAGGAAAAGGAGAAGGGATTAAGAAATACAAATTGGTTATTACAAACTAGTCATGGGAATGTAGGGTACAGCATAAGGAATATAGTCAATAACATTGTAATAAATATGTATGGTGCCAGAAGGGTACTAGATTTATTGGGGTGATAGATGGGAGGGGATTGAGGGCAGGGTGAAAAAGGTGAAGGGATCAAGAAGTACCAATTGGTGGGCCGGCCGAGTGGCGCGAAGGTTAAGAACTCGCTTGGGATGCCAGAGGGCCCCGGTTTGGATCCCACATATGAGGGCCAGTGACACTGCCCTCCACAGCTAAGATGCTGAAAAACAGCTCAACCTGGAGCTGGGCTGCCATGAGTCGCCGGCGATGGCGTAGGCTGCAGTCCCTGTGGCAGTGGGTTGCCATGGGCTACTGTATGTAGCCAGCAGCCAGCATGAGCGGCCAGCAGCCGCAGTGAGCGGCCGTCCAGAAGCCGGCGACTGATCTGCCTCGCCAGAGAAGAGCGCAATGATGGTGCCAACTTGGGCCAGTGAAGCAACATCCTCCACAACTAGATTGAAGAACAAGACGACAGCAACTTGTCTGTTCCCCTTCCCCCAATTCCCCAGCACTGTTCCCATTCCCCCAATTCCCCCAATAAAAATCTTTAAAAAAAAAAAGTACCAATTGGTAATTATGCAATAATCATGGGGATGTAAAGTAAAGGGAATGTAGTCTGTAATATGGTAATATCTGTGTATGGTGCCAGGTGGATACTGTTATAGATTAGTCAGGGGGACCACTTAAATTATATAAATGTCTAGTCACTATGCTGTACACCTGAAATTAATATTAAATGTCAACTGTAATTGAAAAATAAAATAAAGTGAGGGAAGGTGAAGGGGAATAAGAGGTTCAAATTTCCAGGTATAAAACAAGTCAAGGGGATATGATATACAGCATAGGGAATATAGTCAATAATATTGTGATATTACTGTGTCAGATGGTTGCTGGACTTAGCATGGTGATCACTTTTTTAGGTATATAAATATTGAGTAATTGTGTACATTTGAAACTAATATAATATTGTATGCTAACTATAATAAAAATATTTTTTAAATGGAACAATATTATACCTGAAGCTAAAAGAAATGTTTAAAGATGCCTGTGTAAAATTTTCCATTCAGTTAAAAAAAATGCAGTATAAAAAACAGTGCAATTGCATCTTGTAAAACAAATAAAACTGAATATACATATGTACCCCCACACACACATATACATACATGCAGAGAAAAAAATAAAACCTAAAAATTATCTACCAAAATGCTAACAGTACTTATCTATAGGTGGTGAGAATGTGAGTAATTTTTATTTTCTACTTTGACAAATCTGACTTTCTCCATTTTCTTGTGTCACCCAGTTTATGAGTAAAAATTTATCTTAACCATAAAAAAAAAATTACGGTTTGGGTGGAGCTGACTTCTCTCAGCTCATTTCAGGGAGTGTCTTATCTTACCCTCACATGCTGTGGCTTCTGTGTGTTCTGGATTTTGCTTGTCTGGACCATGACTCGTCCTGCCAACATGTCTTTATTTTGATGTTCTCTGCTAGATGCCTACAATGTTTTTATACACCACCTTGGTCCCTTGTGTTTTAGCCTGAGAGGAAGTTTGGCGTTGTGGTTGTTGGTGTTGGCAGAGCTGGCTCCGTGCGGATGAGGGACTTGCGGAATCCACATGCTTCCTCAGCATTCCTGAACCTGATTGGCTTCGTGTCCAGGTGGCTTACATTTGCTTTGTGCCTTGTAATTCATGGGAATCACACTGGGATGGTGTAGGCCTCGGGGCATGGGGATTCTCCAGACCCGGCAGAGGGATCCAGCTCCAGGGTTATTCCAGAGAAATGTGCTCAGGGTCAGCCCCACAAGATCTGAAGTTCAGATGGGTCTGTAGAGTCCTGGGCCTGCAGGTGGGATATGCAGTGAGTCAGCCTGGAAGCAACAACCAAGGCAAAGGCACAGGTAGGGAAGATGACAGTTACAGAAGGGGCACAGTGAAAACATAATGGAGCTGGCCTGAAAGTGTGCTGAAGTGTGCAACAGCTAATCGTTCCATCAGGTATCATAACAGCCATCCATGCAGTGATGCTGGGCTTTACAAGCTTTACCAACTATTTGACATAGATACCATAATCAAGCAACTCTACTTGATAGATAAAGAAACTGAACCACATAAAAGTTGAGTAAATAACCATTCTCTCCTTTCCTGTACTGTAAACTTCTAAATATTTGATGGTGCCCTTTGGCGTCTTTTGAACAGTATTTAAAGATTGCGATCTATTTTTGGAGTTACAAAGGAAAAAATTAAATGTGTTCTGATTCATGGTAAAAAAAAAAAAAGAAAAGAAACTGAACCACAGAGAGGTTAAGTAATTTACCTGAGGTCACAGCTGGAAAGTCTAAGAACGATTTGAATGTAGGTCTATTTGATTCCAAAGCCCATCTTTTAAACACCATGTGTTCTCCCTTTGATAATTTTGAATCCTACTTTTCATTTAAGCTTCATTTCTCTCCCGTAACCAACCAAAACCGAACTTACCACTGTGTTCCTTATTTCCTGCCCCATGCTCAGCGCCTTCCTCTACCCCGCACCACTTCCTCACACACACACACTACTCACCATACTAACAGTACATGACATCATTTATCAATATTAATTGTGAACTAGATATAGGTATTATGTTGGCTGAGGAAATGTGGGGGTGAGCAAGTTAGGCACGTCTCTTCTTTCTAATGCTTGAGAGAAATCAAATAAATATTTAGACAAAGCATAAGCAGCTATTGTGATGGTCTGTGCAGACTTCTTTTATATTTTAATTTATGGAACCTACTTTCTTCTAGTTTGCCTGTCTTAAAATTTGACCCTTCCTTTACGGATTTAAAGTGGATGTTGGGCCAGTAGGGAGACCCAGAAGTGCTGTGACTCTACCCTTGGTCAATCTCCCCCTCGCAGTAAGATTCTAAGGAGCTGCACACAAATGGGAGATGAAAATTATTTTTAGCCATACTGTAATTCCCTTGTATCCATATTTGAAGCTCTAATCAAACATGATAAAACAGAGCCTCTCCTTTTATTTTAAGCCTCAGTCCTCCTCCAACTGGCTGCCGTGACTGACATTTGGCTCACATTTGCTTTGTGCCTTGTAATTCATGGGAAGCACACTGGGATGGAATTCCTAAAGTACCCAGGTCGTGTGGGAAAATGGCCAGCTCATGCCCACTTCTTTACTGCACCCCTGCCTTTATCACACTGTTCCCCTTTTCACATACCCTGTTCCCCATGACCTACCTGCTAAGTCCTACCTCCTCCCCAGGAAGCCTTTCCTGAAATACCAAACTAGGTGTTTTTTGCTTCCTTGAATCTCCCATATGCACCCCAGGACATTTCTCATGTGAGTCTTGTGTTGTTGTCATGTGTGTGTGTATGTGTCTTACTCCCTCTACCAGACTGTGAGCTCATTGGAAGCAGAGGACTTTTAGTTCGTTCTTTATGATCTTCCATAGGGTACTTCACACACAGTAGTCAAACAATAAATATTGGTTAAATTGAGCAATGTAGGTTGGGTGTCCCTATGGGAAGAAACCTACTTTAATATCCTTTGGCAGCCAAACTTCCCTAAATGCCTTCTGTCTGCTGCAGCTTGAGTGGAGCTCTGAGCTGGCTGATAGCCTTCTCTGGCTGCACTGTTTACTCTGTGACATCTGTCATTGGGGGATTGCTCCACTGCTCCAGCCTGTGCACTAGGATGGTGTACACATGGCCAGGGCTCTTGGCTCTTCTAACTCAGGAGCTCCTTCTTGCTCTGTAAGAGTCAAAAGGCTTAGAGTTCATGTCTTACCCCTGTACTGGTTAGCTGTGGAAGCTACTGCCTCTGGGTTTTGTGATCTCAGCTGTAAAGGAGGCAGTGATACCTGTCTTCCATTTGACTATCATGATGCCATGATGAATGTGAAGGAGCTTGAAGTCACACAGCAATTTTCACCTCAAAGGTGCTAGCATATTGGATTTGAGTTAGGTTTGCTAGCCATTGTATTTGGCCTGGTGTTTGATGCTGGCAATGACCATAGAGATCACTTATCATGAGACAAAATGAGATCAGTTTTTTTATTTTAGATATGAAGTAATTCAAATACATCATACAGGCTGTTAGCACTTATTGCCAGGGCCTCTGACTTCAACCCTGAGGCTGTTTTTCTCTATGATGGAAAATGCCCTGGAAGTGGGAGGGTCAAAATTAATTTCTTCATTTTCAAAAGCTGATCATCAGGATGTTGTTGGGAGAAAGGTGAAAAGATGGTGCTCATTTATCTAAACTGGTGTTCTGCCTACTTTCAAGTTCCATTTCTCTGTTATTCTCAAACAGACGAGAGCTCAAGTGCATTGATGAAGTTCAGCAGATTTCTTTGGAAGATGCTCTTTCCAGACCAGAGGTTGAGGTTGCTTATATCTGTAGTGAAAGCACCAGCCATGAGGACTACATCAGGTGGGTTTTCAATGCAGGCAGTCCTTGCCTTGCACAGTAGTGCAGGACTGTATAAATGACTGGGCAATCAGAAGTCTCACAAAGGACTCTTAATAATCAATGTGAAAAATTACAGTGGATCCATGACCTTTAAAAATTGTTGTCAAAACATTAAAACTTCCACTATTGGTTATAGATGTATAAGGAAATGAAAATATAGTAAAGCAAATATTTAGTACACTTCAATTTAAAACATGAGAAACATTAAGAATTAAAGTGTTTTGTTTCTTTGTAAAAAATTGATTGAGAGAATTTGAACAGTGTTTGCCTTTTTCTCACCATATAAGTTAGGATATAGAGCCAGCATCTTTCCTGTGCCTTGGCAAATTATCATAGTCCTTTTATGTTTGGATCAGCTTCCAACATTTTATCCTTTGCACTTTCAACATTGTGAAATTTCTCTGAGAGCTATTTTAATATGAAGTGTTTTTGCCATGAGATAAATAATGAGGTAGTGGTGGCATCAGAGATGGGAGATGACATTATGTATAGAGCAAGAGAAGTGAAGTGTCCCCCTGCCCCACCTTTGAATGAAAAGCCTAGAGCCTTCCATACATTTGATGGGACTGAACCTGGAAGGAGAAGCCCCATATAGGACCTGGAAGCTAAGAAGGCCATGCTAGCTGCCTCTTTGAATCTCAGCCTCCCTTCTAGGTTCTTACATTAAAGTATAGCTGCTACCACCATGCTATTCCCCAGAAGTAAGCTGTTCCCTTTTTATCATGCCAACTGTTGTGTGGACAGAAACACCTTTTTTTGATATCCCTTAACCTTCTTTGTTCCCAGAGTATGTTTTTTTAAAAAAGTGATCATGTAATTCACATGCTTATATAGTTGACCTTTGAACAACACAGGTTCGAACTGTATGGTTCCAATTATATGTGGATTTTTTTTCAATAAATATATTAGAAAGGTTTTTTGAGATTTGAGACAATTTTTAAAAACTCACAAACTTATAGCCTAGAAATATCAAAAAATTAAGAAAGTTAGGTATGCCATGAATGCATAAAACTAATCTATTTTATCATTTACTACTGTAAAATACATAGAAATCTAGTAAAAAGTTAAAATTTATCAAAATTTAATCACACAAACACAGATGGTATGTGATACCATTCACAGTCAAGAGCAATGTAAAGAAATGTAAATATGCAAAATCATAACTGCATAAAATTAACTGTAGTATATACTATATATTACTATAACCATTTTGTAGCTACCTCCTGTTGCTTTTTCAGTGAGCTCAGTATTGTGAGTATCCACTTAAAACACCGTGCAATGTTAATAATCTCTACCTAAGCTGTTCACCTCTCTAGTAAATTGCGCATCACAGTAAATAGTGATTCCTCTCAGTTCTCGTGTTATTTTTCATCATGTTTAGTGCGATACCATAAACCTCAAATAGCATCATGGGAGCCATATGAAGTACCACTAGAAATGCTGTAAGTGCTCCCAAGAAACTGGTAAAAGATACGACATTACAAGAAAAATTTGAATTGCTTGATATGTGTCTTAGAGTGAGGTATATATCTTCAGTTGCCCGCCATTTCAAGATAAATGAATCCAGCATAAAGACCATTGTGGAAAAAAAAAAAAAGAAAATTTGTGAAGCTTCTGCAGCAGCTATTCCAGCAGGTATGAGAACCTTGCACTTTTTGTGAAGTACCTATTTATTATATAATGAAAGTACAGGATTATTATAAGAAAGGCATATCTATAGACTCTAATATGATTTGAAGAAAAGCAAAGTTATTGTATAACAATATATAGATGAAGGATCTAAAGCTGGGGAATTTAATGCCAGCAAAAGAAGGTTTGATAAATTTAGAAAGAGGTTGGCTTAAAAATGTCAAGATAACAGAGAAGCAGCTTCTGTCAATCAAGAGGCAGCAGAGAAGTTACCAGATGCCATCAAGAAAATCACTGAGGAGTAACGATATCTTCCTGAATAAGTTTTTTTTTAACTTTTATAAATATTTGTTTCCAACAATTATTTTGTTGTTCCTATCTAATTTTTATTCATATGTATATCTTTTTTCCCCATTAAATACTGTATTTAAAGCTTCTGGTGCATAGTAGGTGACAGTAATAATAATAGTAAGAGCAGTAGTAGAGATACATATATACAAATAACAATACAACAAAAGATACAAATAACAGCTGATATTTACTGTTTCCTCTATGCCAGATCCTGTTTAAGAACTTTATACTTCCCATATTCTTTCTTTTTTATTAGTTTCAGGTGTATAAAACAATGTAATAGTTATACATTTCATCCATCATAAAATGATAACCCCCTCCCCAGAATAGGTTATTAATGCAGATGAAAGTGCTCTATTCTGGAAAAAAAAAAGCCACATTGGGCATTTATTAGTAAGGAAGAGAAGCGAGCACCAGGATTTAAGGCAGGAAGGGATAGGCTAACTCTACTGTTTTGTGCAAATGCAGTCGGGTTTATAATCAGGACTGCCCTGATCTATAAAGCTGCTAACTCCTGAGCCCTGAAGGGAAAATACAGATACCAGCTGCCAGTTTTTTGGTTGTAAAACAATAAGAACCCTTTTTCTGGATTGGTTCCACTGATGCACTGTCCCTGAAGTCAAGTACCTTGCCAATAAGTGACTACCTTTTAAAGTTCTTTGGATTTTGGGGAATGCCCCTGGCCACCCAGACCTTCATGAGTTCAACACCGAAGGCATTAAAGTGGTCTACTTGCCCCCAAACAAAAATGTCTCGGGCCGGCCGAGTGGCGCGATGGTTAAGAACTCGCTTGGGATGCCAGAGGGCCCCGGTTCAGATCCCACATATGAGGGCCAGTGACA